ACAGGTGTCCGTGGCGTTCAGTGTCGCGGCGGCCGCTCGCGAGGTAAGATACATTGTTGATTGTGTATTTTTTCTCTCATTTTCTCTCTTATCCAGTTTTATGATTCCGCGTTATTTTCGTTCACGTATCGTCGATTAATGTGTGTATCTTGACGAGTGTCGTACGCGATTACGGATCAAGGTGACGCGCGTTTCCGTGCGCGGGAAGCGCGCGTGTCGTTCGCGCTCACTCGAGCTGAGTTTTTGTCGCGCAGACTCCGGTTCGACAGTTCGTTTACTGTATATATCGTTATTCTCCTCCCGGCTCCTGGTGCAGACACTGCTCCAAAAATCGAACATCAACGGCTGGCCGTTACGATCGAGCGATGTCGTTCGATAACTGACCAGTCAGTGCCACAGGTAACGTGAAATTTATTCCATCAATTCGACGTACGTTTGAAAGTGACATTGAAGGAGCTGTCAATTCATTACGAATACCATACGATGATAGCATAAATGAAACTTCTTTGTGAGTCACAAGGGCACTCCAATCGATATTTCTCTGGAATGTCTCGATTAGTTCGGATAGGTTACCGCTGCTACTGGGGCGTGTTATTTATTTTGGAGGTTAGGTTAGTTATGTAGCTTTTAACCACAGGTCCGGTTTACGAAGTTCTCTCGACTTTTTTGTCTGGATCTAACGTGTACGATTGTCAATTAATTGCTGTAGTTCGTAAACACAAGAAACGTATAAATTTTTTGATACGATTTTCGGGGACTTTCGATTGATTTTCGTTTTAACGATCATGTTGTATAAGTTTACCGACCGTTTTAAGTTTCACATTTGTACGTTATAAATCTATTGCGCTTAATTTTTTCTTACATTATTATGAAAGTAGTCGAATCAAGCTCAAACTGTTTACCGTTTCGAATGCTTTCTGGAAACAGTCCGAGTTCCACGGCCGTTCCAGGAATCCTGTCAAAAGAGAATTTGTATTTCTAACGAAAAGTCGACTCGCATATAAAATAGACAGAGAAAGCAACGCCGGGTCGGTGAAATTCCTTTGATAGCGGCATACCGACGAGCATACCGAAAAGTTGGCACCGGCCGTGGAACGGTCGAGATTGTCGCCGGGTCCGCGCGAAAACATCGGTCCATCGTGGATTTGTTGATGCAGACGAGTTTGGAAATCCTCTTAAGCACGATCTTACGTTACGATCGCATCTTGATCGTGAATCTTTCGTCGACTACAGGCACGATTACATTCGTGGCATGGCGCAGACTCGTTTTCCCTTCTATCTTCCTCCCCCGCGTTTCCCTTCTCCCTTCTCGCCATTTTCTTTCTCTCTTTCTCTTCCCCTCTGTCGTCTTCCATCTCTCTCTTTCCCTAACTACCATCTTTCTTTCTCGCTTATTCGGTATTTCTCTCTCTTTATTCTCCATCTCTCTCCTTTTTTTCTGTCCTGTGAGCACCATCGAGCCGGTTCGCAGAAGAGCTAGCCCATGCAACGGGTAAGAACAATGCGAATAAGAGAGGATGACAAGACTGGTTGGCATGCGTGGATAATTGACACTTCGTAAATTTGTTCCGTACGAACGTTGATTTTCTCGCGATTGCTCCTCGAATTGAATGTCGGTGTGAAACGTAGAGATGAAAACGTGAGAATCGATGTCGTTTGATCCATTTTTGTGACACGAACGAATCGGCGGGGCACGGTATTGCGATTCACTGGACACCGTGTAGAAATTTCGCGTCATGCGCGGAGCGTGGAAGATCGATGTTTTTGTATAATACTTCTCGCGCACGAGATAGGTAGGACGCGACGAATCTTATATGTTGGTATGCGTAGATGTATTTGAATTGTGTATATAGAAAATCCGGGGCAATTAGTATGTTTCGTAAATATTTTCGTAGATTTTGTTTGTCAACACTGTTCCCTATTATAGCGAAGAAAATGCGTATGATTTATTAATTTTGATGGATATCGGAATTTTATGGGATAATTTGGTTCATCGCGTCGTAAAGTAAGGTTGAAGAACGCACGGTATGTCAGAGCGTTCGTAACCTTGAAGGTAAATGAAAATTACCTCTTCCGATCATTCCACTTTCGGCCGACAAGCCGACAGACGAGTGAAAGGAAAATCTAAAGGTCATCGACCGTTTGAAAACGACGCGGTTTCTTATTCACCTGGTCACCGGAGTCAAAGGTTGTTACAGTTTCTACATTGTCACTTTTGCACGTACGAACCGTAAACGATTTATTGAGTTTATTTTTTATTATTTCATAACACGTTCTTGAACATGTATTTTTACAAAGAAATTTTAAGAAACTATGTAACTAAAAAAAAAAAAAAAGAAAGAAGATATAAAACTATTTATATTTTCCTTGTTAATATTTCCATCGTAATGTCAATGATATTCACGTTACCATTAAAAACCCACTTTCCAGATACTCACTTCAAACCGATCGATCGATGGAAGAGCGCGAAAAGCTGCAGGGACAAAATAGCGGCACTTTTTCCTCCGTCACGAATCTCCATCGTCGCTCAGACAAAAATAAATCGGCAGCTTTCCACGGCCGCTCGCGGTGTGCCTCTCTTTTTCTCTCTTTCTCTCTCCTGTTCTCATAAAACAAACTCACGAACGGATGAGAAGTGGTCGGAGTAGAGAAAGAGAATATCGGTTCACCGCGATCAAGGTATTCACGTGAGCCTCTGTTTCGTCGTCGAGCCGGTAGACGCGAATGGAACGTGAGGAGGAAGAAAGAGACACGGGGAAAAAGGAACAGAGGGCTGGCGTGAACGGTGGAGACAGCGCGTTAGAGAAAGAAGGAACGAGAGCAAGGTTCGTTTTCTCGGTTGGTTGTAGCCGGCGACTCGAATGAAAATAAATCGGCGGTACGACGAACTGGTTCGTGCGTTCGCGTAAAGCGGTCGTGCGGTCCGGTAAAACAGAGACAGAAGGAAAGAGAAAGAAAAGACGTGTATAGAGTGCGAGTGAGAAAGAAGGAAAAGGACTCTCGCGACGCGAAACAAGCCTGTGTGTTGCCTTCTTTGGATCGTGGAAAAAAAGACCCTATCGGACAACAATCGGCCGTTACGGTCAAGATACAGAGGGCCCGCGAGATGTCTCTGACGTGCCGAGTGCAGTATCTGAATGACGTCGATCCGTTTGCCTATGCGAGCTCCTATCCGGAGCCACCTAGGCCGCCTGTGCACACCTTCAGCGCGACCTTGCCACTAATTAACCAGCTCGCAGCGGTGCATCGACTTCTACGGGCGCCTCATAGGGTGAGTTCATCTTTCTCGCTCCGCAACGACAGCGTTCCTCTTAATTCATCGTTTATCGAGAGATCGAGAGCGAGGGCGAATTAATGCTCCATCAAGCGGCCCGCGGCGCCGCCATGCGGTATCTATCGCGAAAGTATAATTCATAGGATTTTTTGCGCGCCGCTAACGATGTACTTGATTGCTTAAAAACCAACACTTTTCATTTGCTCTTTTTTCTGTCCTTTCTTTTTCGCTCTTTTTTCCCCCTCTTTTAGTTTAATGGTTCGAAGTCTCTTACACGACGATGCTTGCGTTAGATGTTAGACTTAAGCGAGGGGGAATTCAACGACCTACGTAGGTCGGTTAGAACGAACGATGGCAGATCCAGATTCGAGTGGCACTGCTGTGGAAATTTATCAAAAGCGTTGTTCAAATTTCGATGATTCCATAAGGATTGGTATTATGTTCTATATATCTTATGCAGAGTTCTACGTATGACGCTGTCACTTGATAACATATTTGATATTTTAAAAGATGCAACATAGTAAAATTAATTAATTATTCGATTCTCTTTTGTCTAACTGTAAAACGACAACGTTGTCTGTTCCAAACATTAACATCCTGTTAAACGACAAATAGCGTACTGAGAATACATTATCACTACGTAAAAGTGTTAAATTACTATGGTATAAAATGACCACGAACGCAACCTTTTGATAAAGTCCATTCACAGCTATTAAAGCGTCTTACAAAGAAATCGTCGAGCATGTTCGTCATCTATCGCTTACGTTCGCCTCGATAAACGACGTAGATGAATAGCTATGGGAAGAATGCCACGGTAGGTGTTTAAACAAATGTTTTACGATAACGGAAAAATATGGCACGGCTGCTGGTATGGTAATGCGAGGAGATCCATCTGTAACGGAACCTCTTTGAGGGCCGGGGGGACAGAAATTATTCTCATCGTCAGACAGGATTCTCGTTTAATGCTGCCACTTGCTGCCAGTATCAAGGATTCTCGAGATCGCAGAAATTTCCCGCCAGGGACAGGTTTCCTTTTTACTCAACCCTCCCTTAACGTCTGCCTCGACGTGTAATACGTACACGGAAATATATTTATATCCCCGGACAAAATCGCGCCGGAGAGGGATGAATTTTCTTTCCTTGATATTAATATTTATGAAATCCGCCCTGATACCAGTCGGCGTAATGTATGCTTGAAAATTTCAAATAGCCCGAGTTACCGCACCACGGTGGAGGAATAGTCGAATGAATTTTTTCATTGAAGTTCGCGAGGAAGTACTTACCGATAACTCTAGCTCTATCAGGCCATTCCATAGTAATGTTGTTTCTTACTTTGCACTTTGAATTTCTCAGATAGAATGTAACGGTCACTGTATCAGGGTATGCAAATTTACAGTTGACGATTAGAAAAATTGCAAATAGCACCAGTATATAAATGCGCAATGCTAATGAATCAAAAAAGAAATTTTGTTCTATCGATGGAATGCAACGATATAGTTCGAAATGATAGATAGAACGTTTTAACTAAGGAACATGGTAAAGATCATACAAGTATAACAAGAATACGCATTAGATATGGAAATTTCCTTCGGTTAAACTTGAAACAAGTTTTCTTGAGACATAGATTTCAGATTGTACGTTCACATATTTATTTAATCATTTTCTGAAACAATCTTAAATCCTAAAAGAATGTAACAAATACATTACATCCGCGCAATATTATGAACTGTTCGAAAACTTGTGGTGAAATCACTTTCGGAGTATCTCTACTCTCCGATGCCCGGAGCGCCGATTAGATTAATTCCCAATCAGAGTACCATTAACCAAACTACCCATCCTGAAACTTTCTTCGAAACCACGTCTCTTGGTATCACGATGCGGCTCCCCGACGATTTAAGACGACTGCTGATATTACATTGAATCAGTGGAACGGAGGAGGGTCGATGCGATAAATTATATCGTCGAGGGAAAAATGGACGGAAAGTGTGGCCGGATGCGAGGCGAACGATCCTCGTGGCGTTTGCCGAACTTCACCTTGGGCCGAGTAATTCTTCAAAATTTATTATTAGATGTTCGTCGCGCGATATCGAGGCAGCGGTTGCACGCTTCTCAAAGTCGTCTGGTCGGCTAACTATTATAAATCGACGTTATTAAGCACCTAGCCAATGGAGAAATATATGCTTGGCGTATTACGACAGTAAAGAGGGATGAGAGAGGGAGAGGGGGAGATCATAAATTTCGCGCGCGTAACTATATTCATTAATGGCCAGGGGATCTTGTGGGATCTTCTCCGGTTGTCGTTCCCTCAGTTGCTGCTGTTTCTCTCTCTCTCTCTCTCTCTCTCTTTCTCTCTCTTTCTCTCGCGCACCAAGAGAATCCGATTGCGTATAGCTGCGTGGCGTTCGTGGCTCCGCGACCTGGCACGTTTACGTGTTTCATTCATTGGATCGCGCGAGCGTGCTTTGCGTAAACCCGAACAGCATATATGCACATACATACATACATAGATACATGCAGCCGCGATCTCGCGGATAGCTGCGGCTTCGTGCATTCGCCACCGGCTTATCTTTCGGTGATTGTTACTGTTCGCTCGCCGCGTACTGCACGGTAATTAATACCGGTGTAGGCACGCTGAATGTGTAACGAACGATGCCGCACGATTGATGTTGCATAATTTTTGCCACGGTATGCGGAGAGAATTTTAAATTCGTCTAAGTAAGAATTATTATACAGAAAGCGTAAATTAATAAGCAAGAAAGAAAGAGTAATAGAGAGACAACAGGGATAGAGTGTAGTAGACAGCACGCCTTCCAGATTATTGCGATAGAACTTAAAAGAAGAAGTTAGAAGAGAGAAGGACTTAAAAGAAGACAGTACTTGGATCAAAAGAATAAAGGAAGAATGCGTAAGCTTAAAACTGAAAGGAAACAACAAAACGAAGAAGGACAATGGTATCGTTCTTGAAAGAGATCGGTTGTAAGGTATGCGTGACAGCGAAAATAGGATTAAAATGGGGAAAGCCTACAGGGAAAGGACGAAAGTTATGAGAGAGAATAAGAAAAGTCAATACGTCAACTTTTTTACATTTTTCCAAAGGTCCCAACCTATGAGCGTCAGGTCTGTTCGTAAGTATTTACTATGATTCGAACATTCCTCTATTAGAATGTCTCGAAACATTCATAGATCGCGCTATATACTGTCTTTGCATACGGCACAAATGTAACTCATGGACGGAGAATAAAAGATACCAGAACCTTCGATTATTTCGCTCGCGCAATATTCCAAGAGTGGGTCATTAAGTATAAACAGGTTTCCACTCCAATTTATCATCTCGCAAGCGTTTTCTTCCTCCCTCTACAGATAAGATTTGTTCCTATTAAGCATCTACAAACGTTTCGAACGAATAAAACTCCGATATTCTATTATTCTTCTTCGATTGGCCTGGCAATTTTCAGTCCTTCTTCAATTACCGAATTCAAAGTTTTTTCTAGTTAGGAAACAAATCTTTCTCTAGTTAACGTCGCAAGAATGTGTTAAAACAGTTGATAATCCAGTTTCTCGGAGACTCTAGATTTCCAAGGTCTCCGAGGCAGCTCATTGTCATCGTACGTAGAACTCGTTGGGCGCTGGTCCGTTACACGGTGTCGCCTATCATTTTGACAGCCAGCGCTGGAACTGAGCTCGTGAGAGGTCCAGGTCGGTCGGCTGTGTCGCGGTCGCGAAAGTGGTTTTACGATCATGTCCAGATAACTTTGTCGTCGTGACACCTTTGCGGTGCTTGCTTTGACACGCTGACGCGCTTCATTCACCTAATCGTGCACGCGTGCTTTCTGTAAACTGTCCGGTGGGACACGTACATGCACGCGTGTCCATCTGGTGTAGTTAGAATCAGGGACAAACAGCCGGTGACCGAACAATAGACGAAGATATAGACACTATAGACGGTGCTGGAGCGGAGAATGGGCGAACAATGAGAGAAAACGAGAGGGGGAAATGGACGGACAAAGAGAGATAGAATAAAGGAGAAAAAGAGAAGGGTATCCAGAGTAGAGAGAGGTCAGGCGACACGAGCGCAGAAGCGCAGCAAGCGTGCACGTGGTTCCTTTGTTCGTGGCACCGTTTCTGAAACAGCCCTTCAGCCGCAACTATTCTCATAGAGGTCCCGGTGCACGGTTAAATGCACGATTACTGCAGTATCGCTGAAACCTCGGTCGGCCACCTTCGTGACTGCACCACTTTGACCCAATTGCGTCGTCGTGTCGCAATGTTGAACAACACGCGGCTGCCAACGGAGGGACCGTTCGGTCGGTCGCGCGCTATTCCTTCCGCATTCAACGGGCCAGCCACGACCTGTCTCGGGCTACGTTCGTATCCGACTCGAAAACGCCACTCTTCCAGCTTGACGTCCTCCGGATTAACTTGCATGAACTTTCACCGATCATATTTAACACTTCTCAACAGCGTGCTTTTGGTAATCCTCACGCGTCGACCTTTTGCCGTTGGTCGTGACTTTTTATGGTTTCGAAGCGATTTTCTGTCACGATTGTGAGTAGTTCATTTTGGAAACGTTGTCTTTCTACTTGTATTTCACTTGTATTTCATAAGATATATGTGCCGTATTATTGCTTTGGTTAGCTGGAAGCCTATGCGCGATTAATTGAT